CCAGGGCCTGCATGTAGCCTGGAAAGTTCACTGGACTTGCAATTTCAGCCCAAGGCTGTCATGGCAACATGGCCCCACACAGGGCAAGTCCCTGAACTCCTCTAAGCCTGAAGTCTCCACATCTTTAAAATGAGGCTTTTATCATGTGCTTTACCTCACAGGACTGCTGTATTGATCAAGAGGGATATTCAGTGCGTGTGAGAGCAATTTTTCAACTGCAAAATAACACACAAATGTAAGGGAGTGTTGTGTGGGCGCACAGTCATGATGGGTAGATTAGAGACTTCCTTGCCCTGCGCACCTGTAAGATCCCTTCAGCTCCAAATGGGCCATGGTTTGTCCTCTTTCTACCCAAGGCCCCTGGGAAAGCAGCCGCAGCCCCATCCAGAATGGGCCACAATTCAGAGATGCTGAGTTGACCCAGTACTTTCAGGCGATCCAATGTCAAGCACCAGGTGAGCTGGAGAAGGCCAGAGAAACTGGATACTTTAATTCATGGGCTCTGCAAGATGCCTCTCGATTCCTTGTGTAGCCAGCTTTGAGCTGCTTTTATCTTGGGGCAGTGAGGCATAGCCAACGCAACTTACTGTCCAAAGCAAAGTCAAAGGTGTTTATTCCAGCTCTTTCCTTCTGCCACTGTCCTGATCTTTAACTAAGTATTGTTCAAATATTCTCAGTAGAAAAAAAGGACAACCTAATAGCACATGTAAATCCTTCCCGGAGCCCTCAACCACCATCTCACCTCCTTCCTTTTCTTCCAGTCCAACACAATAACACCATCCTCATATCTCGAGTCTCGATTATAGTTTTACCTTTTCCAAGTCCTTTCCTGCCCGTAATCTCATTTTGCCTTCAGAGAGCCTCGTGGTTACACGGGACAGGTATTGCCACGCACAGAAGCTGATTGGGATGCTGAGGAAAAGGGTTAAACTGAAGACCTAAAAACTTCAAGTGTCAGTGAGAAGCTGGACAAGAATTGGAAAGTCGGACCCCTGCCACAGTGTCCTTTCGAAGATTCTCTCAGTCAGTAGGAAATATTCAAAAGCCATTTGCAATAGACGAAGTTCTAGCCACAGGCAGGCTCAAACAAACCAAACCAAAGGAAAACAAACGGCCGGAGTAGTGTCAGCAAGCACTTCTGAAATTCAGTTGTTCAATGACTAGCTCCCACATTGGCCTCAAGCTACAGAGAGATAAGAGCTAGAGCCTCATTTCCCCAGAAACCACAGAGGCCAGGAGGGGGATGGTAGGAAATCCAGTTGGGTTATGCAAAGCCACAGCTCCATCCGAGTTCCTGTCCTGCGTCTCCCTGAGATAGGCAGCCCCCTTCTGGCCCCCAGGCATCCTGGTCCTCAGGCCTTTGCCCAGCTGGACACACACTCTTCCTTTTCCTTCCAACCAACCTCACTCCAGTCCTGACGAAGCTAGACCTTTATTTTTAGAACTTTTGGAATAGGGAAGAGCTAACGGGCATAGAAAGCAAAAGGAAGGGATAGGCCCTTTTGGCTCCTTGAAAGTTTCCTTCCTGAGGCCTCCCTAACACCTCTTTACCTTGTGCTGGCTTACACACACACACACACACACACACACACCATAAACATCGCCACTTCTCCATCCTTCTCCATGTGGCAGATTCTTCTACAGTAGTGTCTAACTTGGACCAAGGTCATAGGGTGGGATGGAAAAAAACCTAGCATAGCTCCAGGGGAGCACTGAGCTAGAGAGAACGTGCCCCAAGGTCACCCTGCTTGCTCAGCACTCCTCTCCCCTAGCTCTGTCAAGGACTTAACAACTGTGCACTCATTAGTCTAGTTCCCCTCAGAGGCCCTGAGGGTTAAGTCACTTATCCAAGACCAATGGGCCTCTGCGCTGGGGGAGCGGGGCGGGGGGGCTCACCTCTGAGCGCTGCTGGCCTGAGCTCCCTGCCGATCCCCCCAGAGCCCAGTGGAAGGTCCATTCTTTCTGCTGCACAACACCAGACCCTGTTACACCCAGAGGGGAACCAGAGCTGTCAGCCCTGGCTACCAGCATTGTCTCCAAAGGGCCATGTTCCAGACATTGGTCACATCCATTCTTGAGGCAACGCAGCCAAGTCTGCCAGACCACTGCTCTCTCGGGCTTTCAATTTCATCATGCTCCTTCCTCCAGGCTGAAGGCCTAGGAAGGGGCTTCTCAGAAGCTAAGCCGGATGCCATAGCTCCTTTTCTTCTCAACTCTCCAAAATGAGGTTAAAAGGCTGCTCTCTGGAATCTCAGATGGCCCCGTGGAGAGGTCGCTTTTCTTACTGACCTGAGTTAAGTTACTGAGGGGAAGGCTGACCGCATCAGCCTTTATGGGTTGAGGCAGAAGCGATACCAGCCTGGGTGGAGTGCAATTAGATCAGGTCACTGCCAGGGCTCCACTGCCTCCCAGGCAGAGAATTTGAGGGAGACAGAACAGCAAACCCAACCTCCCTCCCACCTAGACTGTTTCATGTGACCCACTCTGTCACCCTTTCAGTAAAGAGAGGCAGCACTAGTAATAATAATAGTAGCCATGAGAGGCTGAATAATGGCTCCGCAAAAGATGTTCAAGTCCTAATTCCTGGAACCTGTGAATATTACCTTACTGCAAAATAAAAAAAAGGATTTTGCAGATGTGGTTAAGTTAATGACCTTGAGGTAGGAAGATTATCCCAAATTATCTGGGGAGGCCCTAGATGCAATCACAGGTGTCTTTACAGGAACGAGGCAGAGGGAGATTTGACCAAGGCAGAAGAAGAGAAGGCAGTGTTACCATGGAGGCAGAGACGGGAGTGATGCAGCCACAAGCCAAAGAATGACAGCAGCCACCAGCAGCTGGAAGAGGCTGGGAATGGATTCTCCCCTAGAACGTCTAGGAGGGAGCACAGCCCTGCTGACACCTTGATTTCAGCCCAGTAATACTGATTTATGGCTTCTGGCCTCTAGAACTATGCGAGAATAAATTTCTGTTGTTTCAAGCCACCCAGTTTGTGCTATTTTGTTACGGCAGCCACAGAAACGAATACAGTAGCTTACAGTTAATGATCGTCCACTATGTGCCAAGCACTGCTCTAAGCATCTTACCCTCATTAACTCATTACATCCTGGCCCCGGATGTGAGGCCTGAGCTGAGCAGACCGGTGCCTGGATTTGGATCTAGATTCACTGCTTACTGCTGTGAGCCGGAGCAAGGTATGCAACCTCCCCAAGCCTCTATTCCTCAACTCATAAATGAGCATATGGTTATCTTTCTCATTGGGTTGCTAGGAGTATAAAAAGGATAATAAAGGCAAAGTGCTTAGAACAATACATAGTAAGCATTCGATAAATGCTAGCTATTATGAGATCTCAGGGGTAGAACAAGCCAAAATTAGACCATCATCCCAAACTGTCAGGACATGGGCAAGGCCTCCCGGACCCAGTGCGGGGGGAAAAAGATGTCCCTTTAAAGCCGGTTTAAATAGCAAATATGACAGGCTGAAGAGTTCAGTTAAGTATTTCTTCCCTTAATTAAGTAATTTAGGTCCTTCGCACCGGCCTCACTTCAGACAAGGCAGATGCTGGGGCTGAGCTCATTCTGCAGCACTGCCCAGCAGACTCCCCGGCCCCTGCCTCGGGTTCTTAAGGAGAGCTATGCACAGCGGTCATCCATATGAAGGACTGAACTTGCAGCATCCACGCCTGACACACCCCTGCAGAGGCCCCCACCTCTTCTCCCTGTAACTGCCATCAGGAGTTGCAGCCCCAGTGCTTGCAAAAATGTCAGCCCATTTTGTAGCCACCCCAACCCAACCCAGCAGGCTGGGGGAAATGACAAAATCAGGCGTTTGCTTTGATTAAGAGGTTACAGCCAAGGTAAAGAATAAACAAGGTTTCCCCAGAGATGGCAAAAGGGAAACCTAGAATTACCACCTGAAAAAAGGCACAGGAAAAAAAAAAAAAACTTTAACTTGGCCCTTCCTGATAAAGTTTGCCCAAGTTCGCTTTCAGGTGATGTAATTCAAAGCAGCAGCGCCCCACAGGATCCCAGGCCATGTGTCCCCACCTAAGAAATCTGCACGAGAGGAATTAACCAAGGGAGAAGGGCCTGGCCACCGGGTCTTGGCTTCCTCCTAGGCAGGGTTCCAGCGCCACAGTCTTGGATAACCAGCTTCAGAAGGCTCCTGCTGCTGCTGCTGCCGCCTTGTGCTGGCGACCAGGCCTCTTCCCAGCAGGCTGCAGGGGCAGCCACCTGCGCTCTCTCTGTCCTTGCCTACCCTTCGCTCCGGGGGGAAGGATGAGAGAGGACAGCTCCCCCTCCTTACTCTCAGGCACCCACAGATTTCTGCGCTGCCGTCACGACTGACGAGAACCCAGGTCCCCTGGAGAAATTGCTTTTCCTTCTCATTCCATCCTCCCTATCAATGAACACGCAGCAACACCCACGCTCCCGCTCCTCCTACTCCGGAGGGAGACCTAACCCGATAGCGACATCCGGAGCTGGAAGCCGCTGCAGTGGGAGCGCCGGCCTCCCTGCCCCGCTGTCCCTTGCCCTTTCCCAGCCATCAGAGGATCCCAAGCCAGCCCAGCGTTCCGGATCGAGAGGGTGCCTGAATCCACTATGGGGCCCCGCCTCCCCAGGGGCTCGGCGCTGGAGACCTCGGGGAGCCTGCGAGAGATCGGCTTAGCCCCATCCGCGGAGGCCGGCCGCCGGGCACGGTACCCGGGACTCGAACCTGGTGCCCTCGCCCTTAGGCATCCCTCGTCCTTAGGCATGCCTCCCCTTAGGTATGTCAAGCAAGCCCCCAGCCTAACGCTCCGGCGCGGCGTCTTCCCCTGCACCCCCGCCCGGAGGAGACGAGTCTCGGGCTGCCTGCGCGCCCATCCTGCCCCCAACAGGTCGTGGGCAGCAGGGAGCGCGCCGCCCGTGAGGCAGGCGCGGGGAGGCGAGCCGGAGCGAAGCCGAGGGCCGGCGCGTGGGGCGGGAGGGGTCGCGAGGGCTGCGAGCTGGCCACTTACGCGCGGGCTCTGGGGAACCCCATGGAGAGGAGCACGTCCAGCGCCGATCCATGCTTGATGGTGCCGGGGCGCTGCTGGCGGTTCCTCCGCGGGGTGACTTTGCTGTACAGCTCCTCTCTCGCGGCCATGCCGAGCGGGCTGGGGTGGCCGTACTGAGCCATGGCTCAGCGGCCAGCCATCGCCGGGGAAGGCGCCCAAGCCGGAGCGCACGGGACGAGGAGGGAGCCGGGCTCGGGTAGGGGAGGGGGCTCGGGGACCGAGAGCTGGGCGGGAGGCGGCGGCGGAGGCGGCGCTCAGAGCTTCCCCAGTGTGGAGACTGACGCTTCCTGGTGAGGCCACCGGAGCCAGAACGGCCGGCGAGCTGCTTCTGCCGGACCAGCCGTCAGCTAATTAGGCCCCCGGGTGCCCCCAGCGCGGCGCCTGCAGCAGCCCTCTCTCCTCCGCCCCCTTGCTTCTCCTCTCCTAGCAGTCCGGGAATTTGCAATGAGTAATTTTTGAATGGATCAAAAAGGAAAAGGAGCGTTGTGGGCTGGCCCTGCCTTGGCTGCACCGGGACCCCGCCCCTCTCTTAAAGCGGCAGCGCTGCCAGAGGCCGCTGGAGGCCGGGCGCGAGCTGTAGAGACTGTGCTTCTAGGCGGAGGATTCGAACCAGCGAAAGCTGCCTGTGTGCATTGGTTCTGGAGAGTCCCTCCCAGCGCCCCAACCTTCTCCATGGCTTGCATATAAGGCCAGCCGGGCCTCAAGACACCAGACCAACCCATTTCAAGTTTCAGATGGTTCTAGATGGGGTTAATAATGGAAATTGGGCGAACTGATGGATGACATTAATGAACCAGAAGGCCAAGCCTTAAGGTCCGGATAAAAGGTTTTGCTTCGGAAAGACCCTGCAAAACCCAGAGGATTATTATGGCCCTTGGAGACCAGGTTCCATCAGCTGGCCAAGTGGCTACCCTGAAGAATTACTGTGCTCTCCATGACTGAGAGAGTGACTCCAGGGCAAAGACTGCGGCCCCAGACTCTCAGGCCTGGGAGGAGAGCAGAAAAGAGGGAGAGGACAGGGTGGAAAGAAGAGAAAGCGGAAGATGGAAGGAGGAGGGAGGAGGAGGGGAAGGAAGTGGGAAGTGGAAGGAGGGTGGAGGAAACAGAAGAAACAGAGAAGGACACTTTCTACTTATAAGAGGTGTTGGAAATGGAATGGGTTGCTTTTCATTAGGGAATGAGTACCCTGTCAATAAAACGATTCATAGAAATACTGGATCCTCATCACTGCTCAGCAGTGAGGGATAGATGAATTGCATCATAGGTTGGAGAAAACTACTCCCAACTCCAAGGTGGATGTCCTAACTGTACCCACTCCCCTGTGCCCCACACCATGAACTTGGCTTGGGGATGTTAAGGCTCTTTCATTTGGAGACAAACTTATCCTCAGTCAGGGCAAGGGCCCCACTCAGTGTAATGGAAAAGACACAGAGTCAATCCTAGCTGCTCCTCTTTTCAAGTAATAATAATAATAAAACCTAACTTTTATTGGGCTCTTCTATGTGTCAGTCATGGTGCTAAGCATAATAAATGACTTAACTCATTCAATTTTTACATAAGCCTATGAAGTGTGTATGATTATTATCCCAGTTTTACAGATGAGAAAACTCAGCTCAGAGAGGTTGAGGAAGATCATAGAGCTGGTAAGTGCACAGCCAGAGCTTTTATCCACTGTGGTGCCTTGGACAAGCTGCTTCTGCCCCCTACAGCCCCATGTCCTCATCTGTACGCAGCACAGGAACCTAGCCTTACACACACTGGATTCTCCAAAAATGTCAGCCCTCTTCCCTGCCGGGAGTGTGCGGGAAGAATGGTGACCAGCGCTCATGGGGCAGCTTCTTGATGTTGCTGTATAAGGCATCTAAGGATTTTACCAGGGGAAATGACACAGCTTGATTCTCTTAGGCCAGAACTGATTTTCTAAAGAATATCCAGTGGTGTTTGGAAGTGCGGAGATTAGAACTACTGGGACTTAAGCAACAATGTGCATAATTCTGCCTCCTGCTGTGTAAGGCACGAGGGAAAGGTCAGGCTTCCTGGGTGGGAGCTTCTGCCAGAGCAGAGGAAGTGTCCAGGAGCCTCACAGAGTGCTTTTCCAGGGCACGGAGCAAAGAGACAGGACGGGGCTGCGGAAGACATACCTCACAGACTAGCCTCCTTGGGATGTTTTTGGTAAAGTATGCTGGACCTTACCCAATGTTCCAAATTTCTTCCAAATGCTTGGGCTGAGAGTCAAATGATCTGGAGCCTAGTCAAGAGTTACTAATGTCGGTGAAAGCACTTTGTAAACCATAAGCACTACACAAATAATAAGCCAAATTTATTGAGAACTTGCTTTATGCTGGTGCTGTTCTTAGCTTCTTACACATATAATTTAATTCCTCAACAAGAGACTGAAACAAGCACTACCAAATTTATCATCAGCCACTTGACAAATGAAGATGTTGAAACAGACAGAGGTCAAGTATCTTGTTCAAGGTCACATGACTAGTAAGTGGTAGAATCAGGATTTGAGCTCTTAAAATTTGTCCAAATAACCACTTACCACCATTGTTCGGATGACGAAGAGATACCAAACCATTAAAATAACATTGTCACCTGTGACTCCTCCTGTGCCCTTTGACACAGAAGTGCTGGGTCCCTGCTTCTCCAGAAGAATTGAATTAATTGTCTTTCTCCCTGCCTCTAGGCAAACTGTGTGAGGAAATGATGGATATAAAAATAGTTTTAGGGGACCGGCCTGGTGGCGCAGCAGTTAAGTGCGCGCGCTCCGCTGCCATGGCCCGGGGTTGGAGGGTTGGGATCCCCGGCACGCACCGACGCACCGCTTGTCAAGCCATGCTGTGGCGGTGTCCCATATAAAGTGGAGGAAGATGGGCACAGATGTTAGCCCAGGGCCAGTCTTCCTCAGCAAAAAAAGAGGAAGATTGGCATCGGATGTTAGGTCAGGGCTGATCTTCCTCACAAAAAAAAAAAAAAAATAGTTTTAGGTAGCCTGGATAAAGCACTATGGAAAACCAGACACCTCAGATACAAACTGTTTTGTCTGGGGCACTGCTACAGAAATCCCAGCCTGGCTGCCTCACCCTTCTTGAGCTGGGTGCTGCCATTTGTTCTGCACAGAGTGGGGGGCTGGCAATTAACATGCATTGTGCTTTAATTGTATCGACTTTGAAACGCTAAATGTCCATATTGTTAGATTACAAAGAGAAGAGGAATGACTACTCATCGACAGGGTATCTAACAGCTGTGAGGGGGAAGGAGTGAGGGGGAGGGGGGCCCTGCACAGTGAGGGAGCTGGCGCATGAGCACTAAGCTGCCTCCTCAGGAGAGAAAGTAAGTCATCATGTCCTCCTGCAACAGTGGGTCATGTCAGAATCCACCCTGGAGCACAAACCTTTCTGTTCACGTGAGCACTGTTTCACTCCACCCCTACTGGCCCCAGCCACTTTCTTGGCGTGGCAGCCCTTTTGAAATGGCCACAGGGATGCCCAGGATGGGCCTAGCTAACTGCACTCATAATTTCTTTTTTTTCTTTTCTTTTGTTTTTTTGTGAGGAAGATCAGCCCTGAGCTAACATCCATGCTAATCCTCCTCTTGTTGCTGAGGAAGACCGACTCTCAGCTAACATCTATTGTCAATCCTCCTCCTTTTTTTTCCCCAAAGCCCCAGTCGATAGTTGTATGTCGTAGTCGCACATCCTTCTAGTTGCTGTATGTGGGACGTGGCCTCAGCATGGCCGGAGAAGCGGTGCATCGGTGCGCGCCCGGGATCCGAACCCGGGCCACCAGCAGCAGAGCACAGCACTTAACCACTAAGCCTCAGGGCCTGCCCTGCACTCAATTTCTGAAGGGTGTCCTATGTCTTTTTCTTCTTGTCTCTGTCCTTGAGAAAAGGTCAAGTGACTGCGTTAAGAACAGGTGGTAAAGTCTGCAGAATATCCCCAGTCCCCAAGGTTGGGATGTTGTCTTGGCAAATGAAGGCAGTTTTCAAACGGCTGGGAATGACTTTAGCCCCTCGATGTCAAGGGGATTCCTTGTGGCCAGAAGATTTTGAAAGCGTGTGGTAAGGAAAGAAAGGGAAGAGCATGGAAGGGCTCCAGAACTGGGAACCGGGATGCCTAAGTGTTGGCTGTGCCTTGGATATTGTTTTCTGCCCCTCTCTGGGCCTCAGCCTCCTCACCTGCCAAATGAGGGAGTTGGCTTAGGCTGGGGATCCCTAGGACTTTGCCAAGGGACCCTCAGGGACTCTTTGTGGGCAGGGGTTGGGATTACTCAACTGAAGGTTGAGTGGGTGAAGCACGGCTTCCCCTTCCCCTTTTCAGGGTGGGTGCACTTTATGTCTATATGTCTTGGAGTTTTATGTATGGTTTTCCATGGGAAGATGGTTTAAAGAGTCAAAAAACATTTTGAAAAACACTGAACTGGATGATCTTTAATGCCCACTTTAGTTCTGACAGACAATAATTTAATAAAAAAGAAAAGTAAAGAGGAATGGAGTGGGATTGGTGAGAGGAGGAAGAGGTTGCTGGGAAGGGAGGGGCAGCTGAGGGCTGGGTTGGGGAGAGAGGAGAAGGGTCCACACAGGTAGAATGTTAGAGTGAAATGGACTTTAAAAAGTCATGTTGGACGGATGGCAACTAGACTTTTGGTGGTGAACACGGGTGTAGTCTACACAAAAGTCAAAATATAATGATGTATACCTGAAATGTACATAATGTTATAAACCAATGTTACCTCAATAAAAAAATAAAAAACAAATTTTTAAAAGTCATGTTGTTCCCACTGCTAGAAGAAATAATAATTACATGACTTGACAGAATGCTACAAGAGCAGTTATACTGTAATATAAATGTATCAAATTAATATATTGTATACCTTAAATTTACACAATGTTATATGTCAATTATACCTCAATAAAAAAAATTAAATTAAATTAAAATTTTTTTAAAAAGTCATGTCATTCCTACCCCGTCCCAAGGCACAATTATAACAAATCTAAGGACTTGGAGATTGGTGACTATTTCAGTCTTAAATTTGTCCCTATGCTTAGCACAATTTTGGGCACATAGAAAGTCTGTAGTAGCATTTATACAATTGTTGATGGGTTGTTTAATCTGCGAGGCCATGTCACACAGCAGAAAAAGCTAAGGCTGAGAATAAGTTTGGAGCATCGCTCCAAACCAATAAAAAGCTTATATTTTTCTCACACATTGAAAAAATTAAGATCTATCCTTTAATTGCAAAAGGAAAAGAGGAGGGAGTCTGTTTTTGTTTCTTTTTTGCCCGTCTGTGAACAAAAATCCCGGCATGTCTATTCTGGAATCCTCCTAGGAGACACTCCATTGTCCATGTTTCCTCCTTGTAAAGGCCTCATCCCAAATGTCACTGCCCCAGCGTGTGTGTCCGTGATTTGCCACATAACAATAGAAGTGTTGTGAAATAAACAGTACAGTATAAGCTTAAAAAAAAAAGTTTTTTTCCTCTCACACAAGTTCCTTTTTGTATACAAAAGGAAAAGTACGGCAGCACAAGGGGAAGTTTTATTTCTTAGAAATAGAACAAAATTAAATAGCTATAAAAACCTAGGTATGAGGACAAAAAACCCCTTGATTTAAGAATGGAAACAACAGTCATGGACCAAGATACTTGCAAACACAATTTTTACTGTTTAAAAATTCAGAGTGGTCTCTGCAAGATATAATTTTTGAATATTTCTTTTTAAAAATGCAAGTTTACAGGGGCCGGCCCGGTGGCGCAAGTGGTTAAGTGCGTGCACTCTGCTGTGGCCTGGGGTTCGCAGGTTCAGATCCCAGGCACGCACTGACGCTGGTCAAGCCATGCTGTGGCGGCGTCCCATATAAAGTGGAGGAAGATGGGCATGGATGTTAGCCCAGGGCCAGTCTTCCTCAGCAAAAAGAGGAG